GGCATCATTGTTAACACTAGTCACTACAATATCTTGGTTCTTTTCACTATTATTACCAACAATAGTATTGCTTTTATCTACCACATTTTAAGGATTATTAGACGCAACATTCTCTTTCCTAAACTCTTCTTTTAATCTTGGAAAATCAACTTGTTTCTATTTCTCATGCCTTCTATACATCATCATACCTTCAACCTCTTCCTAACTATCATTACAAATCACCACAATCTCATCTATTCTTCTTACAGCCTGAACTCCTAGCCAATTGCCATATTCTGTAGAAACAAATCCTTCATTCCCTTTAAAAATACAACCTCCAAGGTCATGCCCAAGTCTGTCGCAAGCAAAACACATATTCTAGGGTCTTTCATATCTCACTTTAATCCCTATAGGATCCTTTTATTAAGTCTAAGAGTCCGCAATCCAATCACTAGAGGCTTCCTTAAATCAATATTTACTCGAGCATACAAAACTTTACTAGTCAACAAACCATCACACTTCGGACTATCTACCAACATAGCATTGCCAATCTTTGACCCTAGTTTTATTGCCTTTTTGACATCCATTATAGCCAGTGGTAGATCTTGAAATTGAATCCAAAAGGGACACATAATTAAAATTCACTTCGCTATAAACCATATCCTTCTCCCACCTCTAGATGTTTAATAGCCATCCATTAATTGACCAGGGTCTACCCATAGGATTCTTTTATAATCATCTTTGTATTTGAATTCAAATACAAAAGTTTTTCAATCAACTTCAATAATTTCCAGATCCTCTTTATTCTCTACGCTCTAACGTTTCTGATCATCTGAAATGTGGTAGTGACATTCAGATCCTTCTCTATAATTATCTTATCGATCAAAATATCACCCCAAACCTCTTCTTCTCTTTCTTCCTCCATACCAAATCAACTTCAAGATTATTATTCTTGTTGTCCCATCCTCTCTTCTTCGAGCTTTCTCCAACCTCTAACACCACCATACCTTCTAATGCCTGATCCTCACTACACTTCTCTTTCACAATATATGATTGAGAAGCCACTCTTTACAGCTTTGCCGTAATGGGTGACGGATGATACTCAGGGAACTCTCCTTCACCGCCATAGTAGACAATGAAACAAGAAGTTACAAACATGACGATAACTATCGTAACTTGCTCTCACATAGGAGAGAGAAAACTCCCACTTTAGGGGAGAGTCACATTTTGAAGCTAACTGTTGTTACTCATTAGTTACAATACTTGGCTAGGCTTAATTCCAATAACCCAAATACACCAGCACTCGATGTAAACAAGTGTGATGTAGCCTCACGCCTAGAAATAAATAACATTACCTCTTATTCTTAACAAAAACATCCAGTTTATAGTTAAATTGAACTAAAAACTAAACTTTATATTTACCATCAGAGATATAATAATTATTGAGTGCCTTAGGATGGGTTCAGGGCGGTACCGTGACAACATGTTGCTCCCTCCAACGCCTTGGTCAGCAGCAAAGACTTACTCCCTCTGTTTTTTTTGGGGGGGGGGGAATTTAGAGGTATAGGCACCAATAACATGAGATTATAAGTTAAATTAAATTTATAACTTCTCACTTACAGTGAAATTTTCATGTAACCACAAATCTATTAACTATTCCTTTTGATTCAAAATGTAAATTTAGTTTAACTATAAAGGGGGGAAAAACAACGGCCAAAAGTGTAAGTCATTAAATTTATTGTAAAATTACATATTTTTAAATTATGTTTTAAATTGTATTATAACATTAATTATTAGGATATTGAGAACCAAATTAGTAGTTGAGACAATAGTTTAGGAACCAATGAATTAAATTGAGTAAACCCAGAGTCAAAGTAGTCATTTAGAATAATAAAATTTAATTAATATATACAAAAATATTCACATATATATATAACTCTAAAAAGAGTGATATCTAGATAAAAACATTAATTAAACTGTGCATAATAAAGTGTTGGATTTTCATGCTATGTTAATTATAATGAATTGGTCCTTTACATTTCCAAAAGGCTATAAATTTCTCAATTCTTGTATGTGTAGATTAGGGAAAAAAAATATTAAACACGTTAGATAATACACACCAACAAAAATTAGTCCAATTGATAAGAAGTTAACTCATAACCCATAAGGTCGTAAGTTCAAATCTCAATGCCAATGTTAAGACCTTATAGGTGGGTGATTTCTAAGTATTTTTATAAGCGTTTTTTCAGAATAGAGGGCCTTAGCCTTAATAAGCTCTCAAAACCCAACTCGCCTAGCTACATGCTCTAGTCCTAATAAGCTCCTAGGACCTAATTCACCTTTTTTTTTTTTTAACCAAAAAAAGGTGGGACTTTCTTATTTGCATAAACGTACACTAGGTCTTAATTTCTTACCCAAAACAATAAGCAGTCCTCATTTGGTATCCATCATAGTGATGAGCACTATACACTTGCTCATTACTGTAATGAAATCAGGACCATTCGATATCCAAATGTATTCAAAAGAAAATTGAGATTGGGAAGAGAACCGTGAAAAAAAAAAGAATAGTACACACAAAAAAGTGAATAAACTAAAAATATCAACGAAAATTGTAAAATTAATAATTTAGCATTATGATAGTTGATTCAAACTTTTGATGCTTCAGCCCAAAAAAGACGAGTGCCGGAATTGGGAAAATCATTTAAAAAAGTATTTAACATAAGAGATTGCTTGTTATATGACATTAGCCAAACCTATGTATGTGGAATTAGGGAATACCATAGGAAGAAGTGATATTTTCTAATCCCATCTCTATGAGTTTATCTAATCCCATATAACAAGTAATTACTCAAACTAAATATTATTTTCATAATTTTTTAATTATAATCATAATTTTTATCTCTTATTTTTAATACTGGACGAAACGGGACTAGTTATTTCCCATTCCATGTCATATGGGTGGTGTGGCCTTGTTTGATATTGTCAAAAGTAGTTGGACTTTTTTAGTTGCTGTGTACAACAGTCGTTTACGTTATTGGTGTCTTTCTGGATTGTTATTCCTCGTGGCAGAGAAAGGTAGGTTATACAAGTCAATCCACATTGATGATAAGTATGATTTTCCAAATGCTTGGAAGAATAACAAGAGGACAGATAAACTACAAGTTACATAAAATCTTTCTAATAAGGAAAAAACAAAGAAAGAAAAAAAGAAGAGATAATTAGAATAGACAACCTATAAAAAAATATTGATTAAAGAGGATCATAGAAAATAAAATTATTTAAAAGGACCAAAATTTAAAATATCAAATTACCCCCGTCACATTTTCATTTCTGTACACGATTTTTCCGCCATTCATGTGGTAGTAGTTGTTTCTTTCCTTCCTTATATTATTTTCCCCATGAGTTTTTCAGAAAGTTGGAGCGTCCCTAACAAGGCTTTATTATATGCTCTCCTGTCCCTTTTTATAAGCAAATTGTATTCTATCACGTAGATCAAAAAATTAGTTAAAGACAATAAATAGATAGAAATAAGAAATTCTTTCTCCAAAATACCCTTATTTATGAAAGAATGTGGATAGAGAGAAATGATGGTTTGAAAAATAAGATAACAAATATATTGGGTATTAAAATAAGTAATTAATGAGGGTAAAATAAGTATTTGTTACAAAAATTTAAAACAACTTGTAAATGTTATTTATATTTAAAGACAAAAGTGGGATGATAGTTGTTATTTATAAAAAAAGGCGGAGGACTACATAACTCTTTCTGTTGTTCATGCTCAGAATTTGCAATTATTAATAGCATTATTCTTGGAAGATCTTCAACTTTCCTTGTCGCAAATGAGAACATTTAAAACCATTTGTCAATCACAGTCCGAAGTCAAACTTTGCTGCTAAATTATCCACCAGCTACGTTGATTCTTAATATAGCCATACACTAGTCAAAGTGGATGAATAAAATAAAGATAAGTTGCTAAAACACATACCACTCCTTATTATTTATATTTTATTACTTGTAAGAAGGGATTTTGGTCCTTTTTACCCTCGCACCTCTTTTATGTTTTATTTTCAATTCTGTCTTATTAATTATAGTAAAGATGAAGAAAGAGGGAACAAGTGACAGAAAATATATTAGTATTTAATACTCTCTTTAAGAGTGAAAGTGAAAGATTTTATCCATTCAATACTTTTCTTAATATGTGAGAAATTCTTATAATTGACAAATAATAAGGACTAAAGTGGTATATACCTATTAATCAATATCTAGAGAATATGCCGGTTTCTTAAGTGCAGAACATAAAAATAATTACAAATATATGAATGGATTACAGGAATTTCCAAATGTTGAAAACCTTTATCATCAATGACTCCCAATAATTTTTCAATTCTGTGTAGAGTAGAATGTAACGGTTGATGAAAAATAGGAAAGCTCACTAATTGTCAAATAATTGAGATTTTATTGGGGGAAAAAAAAAGAACTGAGATGAGGTAAGAGAGAACATAGGAAGTCTAGTTATGGGCAATTTAGTCTTTTCAAAATAATATTTTAATTTCTGGTCTTTTTAAAAAATTACGATTTTTATGATCCTCTAAAATAAATATTATTTGGTTCTAAAATAAATATTATTTGGTTCTAATTCTCCCAAGAAAGAAAGACACGGCCCTTGTCAAAGTAGTAGTTGTTGGTCGTCAATAGATATTTTTCTCAAATAGCGCAAAGATCGTTTCTGTGGAAATTTTATTGGAACATAAACAAATATAGTGCCGTCAGGAATAAACCAACGGCTTTTGCTTTTGGCAAGATCATGACCAAAGACTTTGAATAGTCTCACACCATTATTTCTTCTTGTGTCTCGATCACACTTCATCACAATCACCATTAATATTGTTGACCTCAGTTGTTGCGGTCACCTTAAGCAACTCTGTATGCCTTTTTGACAACCCACATAATTCAGCTGTATATAACTGACTTAAGAATGTTAACCCAGCTCTATCTTTTACTCCTCCGTTACCATCATCACCATGAAGTTCTATACTTCAAAAGAGCTAATTCTGATAAATATCCCATTGTTCCTTCTCTTGGTGCTTCATTCTTCTTGTCACTCCCTTCACAGAATAACCCCAAGCCAATCCCTTAAAGACGGCGACGTTTTGCTCTCAGATGGAGGAACCTTTGGCCTCGGTTTCTTCACCCCTGGCAACAATTCAAGAAAGCGCTACGTTGGAATATGGTATAATAAGTCCTCTGAACCAGCTGTTGTGTGGGTTGCTAATAGACAGAATCCTCTTTATAATACTTCTGGAGTTTTGTCGATTGATACGTATGGAAACATCATTCTCGTTTACAATGATACTAGTTTAAACAGAAACAGCCCCATTTGGTCTTCCGACGTTTCAATCTCATCTTTTAGTCATACCTTTGCTGAGCTTCAAGAAACTGGAAACTTGGTTTTAATCAGAAATGAAGGAAGAAGATCGAAGGTTGTATGGCAGAGTTTTGACTATCCTAGTGATACATTGCTTTCGTACATGAAAATGGGGGTGGATCGGAAAACTGGTTTCAATCGGTTCCTTACATCATGGAAATCCCCAGACGACCCAGGATTAGGGAACGCGACTCGGATGATCAACCCAACAGGTTATCCTCAAATGTTCATTTATAAAAACGGGGCTCCGTTTTGGCGAGCCGGATCTTGGACGGGTCAAAGATGGAGTGGTATACCTCTGATGACTAACATCTTCAACATCACCTATATTGACAATGCCAATGAAGTTAGCTACATGACCCGAGTCATGGACCCTTCAGTCTTCTTAAGAATTGTGATAAACAATAGTGGTTATTATTTACGAAATATTTGGCAAGTTAACGAGAATAAATGGACCCAAACATTGTACGGTCCAAGAGAGGATTGTGACCACTATGCTCACTGTGGGTCAAATAGTAACTGTGACCCGTATAACGGGGACAAGTTCGAATGCGTGTGCTTGCCCGGATTCGAACCCGTGAACCCGCAAGAGTGGAATATGAGAAATGGATCGAGCGGGTGCATGAGGAAGAAGAATGTGTCCATATGTAAAAGTGGGGAAGGCTTTGTGAAAGTGGCACGTGTGAAGGTGCCAGATACATCAAAGGCACGTGCAGATAAGAGTGAGAGTATAAGCTTGAAAGGTTGCGAGGAAAAGTGCTTGAGGGATTGTTCGTGTCTAGCATATACGAATGTGGATGAGGTTAAACAAAGCGGGTGCTTGACGTGGCATGCTGATATGGAAGACATCAGAGCATTTGACAGCGTGGGGCAAGATTTGTACGTCCGTGTGGATGCGGAAGAATTGGGTACGTTCTTTACTTCACTTCTTTTTTGTTTTTGCTATCAAGAGTGAAAAAGAAAATCATCATGCTTAGTATCGTGTGTGTGTGTGTGTGTTTGTGTATTAAAGGAAGAGTGAGGGTTGGGTGAGACTATGAAAATAATGAAAGCAAATTATTAATAATTTTTAAAATTAAAAAAGTTAAAATATACTTTTGATCTTTTAAGTTTTTAATTTTGGATCAGAGGCCTCCTACAAATTTCATCTTGCCAGGAGGGGGTGGAGGGAATCCCTCCCGTAGCTCCCAAATTCATCGTACCAAACATATTCTTAAGTTTATGAAGTGTATTTTTAGTTTTTTTTAAATCTTAACATGGTTAATCTCATTTAACAAAAAATGTAAACTTAGAAAATTTAGATGGTCACTCTATAATTAAATGTTGACAAAAGATGCGCTAAGTTTTAACTCCAATATAATCAAGGTAAAACAAAAAAAAAAACTATTTAATATAATCATTTCTAGTTTTTAAAATTATTTAAGCATAGTTTGTCAACATTTGATTGTAGAATCACTACGTAAATTTGATGAGTCATCATTTTTTTTTAAAGTAGACTAACAGTATTAAGATTAAGGGGCTAAAAATACACTTTGTAAATTTAAAGAATTATATTGAAACTTGGTTTAAACTTAGAGGATCAAATATATATATATATATATATTTTAGTGACTTAAAAATATATAATTTGTTTGTTAAACTTACTGTTCTTGTTTTATTTATAATATTTTACATATTGAACCTTAATATAAGACTATTAGGGGGTGTTTGCATGAAACTAAACCTCATAGTTTGGAGAATAGCTTCTGAAATAGATTCTTTGAAAAATAGATTTTGTGAAAAATAGATTTTGCGAAAAAGTGATTCAGATAAAGTGTATTTGAATAGTTGTTATCACAAACACTTTTATATGTGTAAATTACTAAAAAAGGTATAATTTAATATGATAATTACATAAAAGATAGATTTTATAATATATTTTAATTTGAATCAATAAAATTGTTAATAATATATTTTTTACCAACATAATTAATAATATATAAGATAATGTAATTAATAAATAATTAATATGTGTATATATTTATAAAATATAAGATTAAATATGTTTATAAAAATAATTGAGAGGTGTTAAAGTCATATTATTGTTGAGATCTACTCTGACAGGTACAATTATACTCTCCAATCACTTCTTCTGAAACCATGGTTTTGAGCCCAAAATTGCAGTTTGTTATTCCCTCCCGTTTGGCAAATTTGGGACCTAAACCATGGTTTGGATTCCAAAACCATGGTTTCATCATTATTTACAAAATTTAATAACACAGATTTGATTCTTTTATAAAAATGTTCCTTTCTCTTTTAAATATCCATAATTTGCTTAAGGATAATTTCTAAAAAAAATTTAAATCTTTTTTTTATTTAACTGGTTGTAACTAATTTCCTTAATCTTAGGAAAGTAATCAATATCGTTATGGAGTACTGATTAAAAAAAAAATATCGTTATGGAGTAATATTTTATTTATTTTATAAAATTAATTTTGTTCATCTATAAACTTTAAAAATACACATTTAATCTATTTTTCAAAAATATGATTTATCATTAAATGGGGTCTATGAAAAATGGCAGCAGGATTAAACAAACTGAATTAGTAAAAATAATATTTGACTTGAAGGATGAAATTAAAGGAAACATATCATGGGACTACTACACCATATTGTAGTACTTAAGAGATACTTAATGGGAAGTGCCTAGTGCCACTGTAGGTACAAGGCCATTTTCCGAAACATATATAGTTTCGTACTTTCGTTTTTGAATTAATGATTTAATTTGAGTTAGTGAATTAATGACCTTTGAATGAATAGAATCAATCATATTGTTCCCATTTTGAGAGCTTTATCAACCACAAAAATATCCAGTGTTTTATTGTAAGAAGTATAATTTTTACAATGCTAAAGAAAATATATTCATTTAACTAATTCCTTCGACCAGATAATTATTATTTATCACAAAGCTAGGATGACCTCTAAATCTGACTGATTCTCAACTAAACTTATAGTAAGTTTTGGAGGCACACTTAAAGTTGAATGATATTACTGCCAACAGTTAATATACTAGAAGCTCTCAAAAGCACCATCATGAAAAAAGATGCAGTTTAAGACTATATAATTTTTTTTTTGGTATAACTCATTTTCAAGTCACTTTGGGTTTGAATTTGTTTGAACATATATTCCCCTTTGTGCTCTTGTCTACAGCTAAAGATGAAAGGAAGCATTATGGTTCTCTTGGCAAGAAGGGGATGGTGACACTAGTAGTCATTTCTATTTGCTTGACAACGTTCCTGGCAATCTCCTTTGTGTATTGGTTTGTAAAGAATAAGAATCAAGGTAAGGTTTATTTTTTATCAATTTTCCCACAAAATAAAGTTCTTAAGGTAAACTTACTAGATGGTTTGTCTCCTTTTCAATCTAAAGTACTTAATAGCCCATATTACAACTGCTCTCTTACAATTGTTTTAATTTTTGTTTTTTTGCACAGCAAAAAGAATGCACGAAAGCGATTTGTTTGATGGAGCAGACAATTCCGATTTAACCCTCTTTGATCTAAAGGACATAGTTGAGGCAACAAACAATTTCTCAGACACTAAAATGCTTGGACGAGGTGGTTTTGGTTCTGTATATAAGGTATCTGTTCTACGTAACTAGACAACTAGTCTCTAATTCCATAAATTGGATCAACATTGTTTTGACATTATTAGGGTTTTATGCAACAAAGATAAAATGTACGCATTCATGAATTAATCATGGATTTTGATGCTAGGGTCAACTCAAAGATGGAATGGAAATAGCAGTTAAGAGGCTATCAAAGTATTCTGGACAGGGCGTTGAAGAATTCAGAAATGAGGTTACTTTAATTGCAAAGCTCCAACATAGGAATCTTGTAAGGATCCTAGGTTGTTGCGTGGATGGAGAAGAGAAGATGTTGATATATGAATATTTGCCAAACAAAAGCTTGGACTCATTCATTTTTGGTGTGTCTTCTCATCATTTAGTTTTTTTACATATACAAGTTATTGCCAAAATTTTCAATTTTAGAAAATGAAGTAAGTGATGATCAAGCAATATTCTTCACTTTTAATACATAATTTGCAACTTTTATGCAGATCAAGCAAAAAAACTACAACTAGACTGGAGAAAAAGATTTGGCATCATTTGTGGAGTTGCAAGAGGAATTTTATATCTTCATCAAGATTCAAGATTAAGAATAATTCATAGAGACTTAAAGGCCAGCAATGTTTTGTTAGATTCTACAATGAATCCCAAAATTGCAGATTTTGGCATGGCAAGAATATTTGGTGGAGACCAAACTGAAGCAAATACAAACCGTATTGTTGGAACCTAGTAAGTGCTCAACTATATATAGCATTTCACTATAGTTTCCTAGCATTGCATTACACACGCACAGCTAGTTTCCACAAGTATGAAAAGTACTAGCAAAAACTAAACTACTAATTAAGTATTTAGCTGGAATGATTTTCTATATATCATTAATTAATATAATATTTATATCTTAATCATGCAAATTTCGATGCTAATTGCAAATCCATTCTCCAAGATGACCAAATAACATCTCAATACGGGCTAGATAGGTTTGCGATTGATGCCCCAATGAAAGAAAATACATTCTTTTGATAATATACTAAAAATAACAATAAAACATACAATTCAGATACTTACTAGTTTAAGCATCTTTAGTTGACATAATTATTTTCAAATTTCTATAATCTTTTACAGTGGTTATATGTCGCCTGAATATGCAATGGAAGGAATTTTCTCAATAAAATCGGATGCATATAGCTTTGGAATTTTACTTTTGGAGATTGTTACTGGCAGAAAGAATAGTGGTCATTATAATGACATTACTTCTACTTTGGTTGGACATGTAAGTACAAATAATGAACTTGAGGTAAGTTTGCTCTTTAGTAATGGTATAACTATCTAATAAGTTCAATTGATTCAGATTTGGAACCTTTGGAGAGAGAGTAGAGCTGTGGAGATTGTTGATCCATCATTACTAGGTGAAACATGCCTTGAAAATGCAGTTCAGAAATGCATCCAGATTGGGCTTTTATGTGTGCAAGAATACGCAACAGATAGGCCTACTATGTTAGAAGTTATTTCCATGTTGGATAATGACTCAACTCTTCCTCCTCCAAAGAAGCCAGCATTTCTTTTCAAGAAAACTGATTGTGATGATTCAAATCCATCAGTCATTGAAGGGGTTAATTCAGTAAATGAGATGAGCACTACTGTGGTTGAAGCTCGTTGAAAATCATGACCGTCATACATGATAATGCTCTTATAATGCTATAATGCTTGTGAAATGACAGATTTTTATATATCTGATCCTTAAAACATTGTGAATTAATGATGCATAAATGTGTTTTAGCAATGAAGTCAAGTACGAATGACATTGATCTTTATTTCTTTTACTATTGAAGTCAGAGTAAATATTGTGATCAGGATTGGTTTTAGTTGTTAGTCACTAGCAATCACTATTGCAAATATTCAAATATATGTCATTCGATATGTGACTGTTAAATCCATAGACGACCATCTATGGCGCACATCGCACTAGCAAACATGCGATGGTGACAATCGCAACCTGCACATATTAGTTAAAAACGCGTGATGGTTTTATTACAAAACTATCAACTTTTGTTGTTGATAATAAATTAAAGTTTTTGCAAAAGTAAAGGCGCTAATGATGATTATCCAACTGGGAGTGTTTATTCTATTTAAAACCCTCATCCCACCTTTCCTTTCATACCAAAAACTAAAATCACTTTCTCACTACCTCATAGTGGTTCAACGATAGAGATCTCTTACCATTTATCCTCCTTACTAGTAGCATCGTCTACCACCCTCGCTGCTCTTGCCCCTCCTCCGCTACCTCCACCACCCCTCCTCTACCAGAGAACCCTGCTCCCCTACTTGATGACCGCCTTACATGTTATGTGTAGGCTGGCCTTGTACGTACATGACCTCAATCAGAAATTCAACCTCATTTTGTACCATAATGATGTTGAATGCAACATGAATTCTAATGCTTCCTCCCCTACCTTGGACAAAAATGACGATGAAGAGAGGGAGTTATATGTTAGCGGTTGTTTTAACTTTTATTTTATGCTTTTTTAGTATTAGCTTATATATTTTGTGTTTTCTATTTTTATTTTTTAAAAATATATTTTGTAAAAGGTGCACTATCCCCTTTATATATATAAAGATAAAAAATATTAAAAAATAAAATATGCTTCAGTTTTTATAGAAGACTATCATGTAATGGTCATATATAATTAGAGAACTTGACATAATGGATGTAAGTAATTTGTCCTAAATATTTTCCTATTAATAAATTTTGAAAATAAATTGATATAAGAAAAAAATAATTGTAGTATATAAACAATATATTAAAAGATTAATATGTGATAAAATTCAAAATCGATAAATGTATTTATATGAACACCTTCATTTATGATTATAGACCTAACTAATGTTGAAACTGTTGTTAAAGTAAATTTTGAATTTGAATGATAAAATAATAAAACTTGACCATGATATAATTAATAACTCATTATATAGATTGATTTCAGTCTTCAAAACAAAGACAAATGGTATATACAAAGGTTTCTTAAGAAAGAAATTATAATGGTTATTTTTTAAAATAATTATATTTCTACTAATTATAAATGCTTTTCTTCCAATATATAAAAGGAAAATAGATAATATAATATAATGTAATAGAATACATAATTAAATTATATATCTAATAAATGTTAATTAAAAATAAAAATGAAATTAAAAAATAAACTAGATTCATGAAGAACTTATTTATGATTTAAAATAAAAAAATTCATTTGAAATTAATATTATGTTAAAAATAATTTTTGAACACAATAAAATTTAAAAAATAAAAAGTAGTATCAATATTTAAACATTATTTTGTCATACTATTTTGTTAAAATTAAAATTATCATATAATTTATTTTTAATTTTTAATAATATTTATCTATATATAATTATTTGGATAAAAGATTAGTATATATAATTAATTTTGTCTTAGAGGACTGTAAATTCATTGTAGCTCAACCAAGAAAGGCTCAAGCATGTGCACGAGGTTGACTGTTTGATTTATGGAGAAGTCACGTTTCAGGAGAATTTTATGGTGGTGACTGAAGATGAGGTGTCAAGAAACATGTGGCAGCTTTTGAGAGGTTTCATGACTAATTGGATTATGTCTATAAATAAAAATTCTGTTCTTAAATTCTGTCACTACTAATCACATGTTTTTTTGTACAATACGCATTATTAGTGTTTAGATTATGTATTATTTCAAATGTTAAATGACGACGATTCCAATATAATGACATGCATTTATATAGACCCATCCATTTTGCATTAGACTATTTAATTGCACTATTTTTGAGATGCAATGAGGATATGTCTCACGTAACTATTTCACTTTTTTAAATAATACTGGTTTTGGGATGACGGAGAATATTTTATTGGGATTTGCTATACTAGCAGTGAAGAATTTTTTTTTATATTATAAAAATAGTTCTTGTCATGGCTATATTGGTTTTTTGTTATTAACCATAAGACTGTTGTTACTTTCATTCAGGTAAAGACTTATTATTTCAACTAAACAAGTTTGTAGTTAAAAATAACGTGTTAGTTGAAATGGCAATCTCTTTTACTTAAAAATAACAAGTTCAATGTATGAATTTAATAAGTTTTATTTGGAAATAACAAGTTAACTTAGTTGAAATAAAATGCGTTAACTTGAAAATAGCCAGTTCACTACGTGGATTTAACACGTTTGTAATTGAAAATAACAAGTTAATTTAGTTAAAATAACAAGTGTTGACTTAAAAATAATTAGTTTAGTATATGAGTTTAACAAATTTGTAACTGAAAATAACAAGTTAAGCTTGTTAAAAAAACGAATCTTTACTTGGAAATCTTCTAATTTATTATGTAGATGCTACCACTAAAACCGCTGTGAAAATTCTATTTTAACTGCTGTGAAAGGCCTTTTCTAACCATCCCAAAATACTAATATGTTGGATGTGAAAGACTCTTTAACTTATAAAACACAGTTCACTTACGACTCGCTGAATTGGGACTCACATATTGTATCAAGGGAATGACAAGAAAAACGAAGCACAAGGAGAATGAATAATGGAAGTTACGTCAAAATGAGATTCTTTGCACAAGAGATAAAGTAGGGCTAAATTTCATAAGAGAGCAGAGCATGCAGGAAAATTTAGAGAACTGCGAGATAAAGATTATACAATTAAGGGTGACATCGTATTGTCAATAAATAATAGGTTTTTCTCCTTAATCAACTACGTTGAGGTTCATAATTCTGTGTCACTATTTTATAGTGTTAGATTCGTATGGATACTTGTGTATTGATCAACCCACATGACGTCATTGAGTGTGAGAGAAACATAGATGGAAATAACAGTGTGGGGTTGGCTTATATTGAATTCTTTGAATTTTCTCAAGCCAACTAGAAGTTGTTGGTTTTGTATCACTTTCTACTTTAATATATGCATGTAATGCAAGAATGTATATGATCAAAATTCCCATCAGTCTATGAATGAAGATGAAGACCACCGAGTGAAAAATTATTTAGAACTAAGTTTCTATGTTAGCGAAAAGATCTTGGTTTCTATATGTTCATTATTTTACAAATAGATGTTTGTCTGTGTCTATATATAATCCTACTACTGCTACTAAGTTTTTGCTTTTTAATTACCCATATATGATCCTATAAGAACTGTTTAATTTCAGCATTATTTCTCATACACTCGTCTGGTTGGGCTGACCAGATGATTATATAAGGAATACTCGTATGGTGAACTTGAACAAACGAGCATATGAGCCCATACTCATCTGGTTAGCGCCAAAAGATTATGGGCCCTTTTTCTAAAAAAAAATTTCAGCTCCCCCTCCTTCATTCGACCATTTCAGATCTGCAACTCTTTTCCTTCCTTTTCCCTCTTTCCTTCTCCCTATCATCATGGGTTCACCTTTCTTTTCCCTCTTTCATTTTCAGCTTGTTCCCTTTCCTCTCTCTTTCTCCCCTTCCCTTTCCATCTTTCCTTCTCACACGTCATGGGTCTTGCACGCTTTGGGTTTGGCTCACTGTGGGCGTGGGCCTCGCTCGCTATTGCTGTAGTGGGTGTCCTTCTCCTTGCTTGTTGTTGCTGCTTTAGCACATAATGGGTCGTCATTTGCTTCAGCTTGTCATGGATCATTTGCTTCAACTTATTGGAATCTTCATTTTGGTGCTTGGCTTCCTAGGTGGAAGGACTGGTGGTTTATAACTTATGTTATTGCTCTTGGACTTGTTAGAATTTGTAGTTATGCATTATGTTCAAAGGTTGATTTTAGAGATTTTATTGTAACACTGTGGGTTTTTAATGAAATGCCTACGTATATAAAAATTTGAGCTAGAAACAATGGTTAGATTGAATAAGTTGGTGAGCTAGATAATCATTTTCTCATAGAAGCAAATGTGTTTTCTTTATTTAGAAAAAATGATTGATGATAAATTATGGTAAATTTTATTCCTCGAAAAGAGTAGATGATGTTATTAATATTAATGATGTTTATCATGTAATATATAGGTTAAAGTAATGTTGGTAGTTACAGAGATAACTTTGGTTAGAATAAGATATATAGTTAATCTTCATGTCAAGTTTTGGAGAGCTATTGAATAGGTTGGGCAATGTAATTGAATAAATATAAATATATATATGTGTGGGCGCGTTGGTTAAGAATATGGTATTTCTTTTTAAATTTTTTTGGAATAGATTGTTGATTGTTGATTTGAGCTATAATTTTGATAACATTATATGTAGTTAGTGTTGTGGGAGTGCTTCAAATTATATTGAAAGGAAGCTTGAATTGGATATTAACTTAATAAATATTGTACGTAATCTTTTATTTCTTGTACAAAGTCTTATATTTTTTTTTATTGCTCAATTTGCTAGTTAAATTGTTGAAATTAATCTCAAGTCTCTTGAATCAATTTTTGTTGAAATTAGGCTGAATTGATTTATTGTTGAAATTCTTGGATACGTTACTTTTAAGGGAAAACTCTGTCAAAATTTTTTCAAAATTTGTAAGGCATATTTTGCAAGTTTGGATTGTTGCGAGGGATAATTTTGTTTGATGTTTCAATTAGTTTGGAATTGCTTTAATTTTCTTGAAATTAAGCTGAATTGAATTAAAATACTGTTGATATTAGTCTTGAATTAAATTATTTAGAATTGCTTGTGTATTAATATAATGGATCATAGTTGGATGAGTGCTCTGAGAACAAGTAACAAATATAAGAAAAAGGTATAACAATTTATTAAATTTCCTAAAAAGATTGCTTACGAGAAAAAAAGAAAGTATTTTTCCCCTGTGTCAATTGTTCAAATGAGAGACAATTGACTATTACTGATACAAGGGATCA